GTATAATATCTTCATGATGTGCTTTGTATCGTTCCTTATCATCAGCAAACAATCTTGTTTTGAAAAACACACCCTTATGAAGACAATCTCAGACGAAAATGCCTAGAAAGTATTCGTGCTCCTTTGCGCTCTTCTATCTTACGTTTATCCATGTGTTCGTTCGTTAAACGAGATTGCTTCCTTTCTTCTGTATCACCTTCACTAGTTATTCCTTTTTTTTGGTTTCAATGATACATGCTGTGGATAATCGTATTCCATGCGTGTATCTAGTTTAGTGCTATCAGTTGACGCTGATATTCATACACATGTTTTCGTAAATTGGACTGCTTAAAAAGTTGAAATTCAGACTCTAATTGCATTCCAACAGTTGACACAGCCGTAGTATGAAGTGATGATTGAATTTCATAATTTGAACTTACATAGGCATATTTCGATTGTGTTGTTTTATTGCTATTGTTCATCAAATTGTACCTTTGATTGAAGTATTGTGACAGTCATCTCATCATATTTTGCACATCAGTACTGCTCATTACATCAAAAAATTCCATAAAATGCTATAATCGTTATATGTGTTGTTTGATGAAGTGATCCTTTTCACCATTCATTATGAAATGGATTGACAAAATCCTCAGGATTTTCGAGCAGCCAGGATTTTCCACATCATTCACAATACGTAAGTGGCTGAAACAAAAAAAGCTTTTTTAATGAAATGAAATATCTCTGCTGTGTCTTTGAGTAAGCTGACAGAAAATCTCACTAGTTAAGTGAGGTGTTTCCAATGATGACAGTTAGTTGGTTTGAATCATGCTAAACTGAGACATCTGTTCGGCATATAATTTGAGATTTGTCCTTGAGAGTGATGCATGCTGATGATCTTTTGCTCCTATAACGATGTCACCTTGCATATTGTGGCGATGATGATCAGTGCTATTACCGGAGCTGATTTGTCGCTCCTTATGATGTTTTGAGTATAGCCGTTTTGCGGCTGCGCTCTTTGTTTGAGTCCCCTTTAACTGTTCATTCAATTTTTCATCTGTCACCTGTCGTAATGTTCTAGCTGAATCCGTGAACGACCTCACATCGACGAAAGTCTCAAATCCATTCGGCTCATCAACGATCCTCAACAAATCGCTCGCGAAACACTTCAACCAGTCCATAGCAACTGTCGAGTTGGAGCTGAATAGCATGGTTGGACGAATACAAATCGATATCAAAGGTAATCTGAGCAGTTGTAATCTCATTTGTATCAGGCTGGTACACTCCATCAGCAACGATTTGATTCAGTTTTTTTTTTTAACTTTTGCCATTTTCATTCTCTTAGTGAATTTCCGTTGTCGTTTAG